TATAGGGGTTGGTTCACATGAGAATGATTCACAATGAAAAAAATGAGAATAAATCGTAACTATTAGATCGAATAATCTAATGACTAAAAAAACTAAAATTATACTTTCATTAAGGGCATTTTGGACATGTCATAAAATATCCACATTAATGGGCCCCTCCTCCACGCAACTGTCACCAGCTGCATCCGCTTATCTTCAAAAAAGAAACCTTAAGATAATAATAGAAAAAGGAATGTCTTTATCCTCTCTCTCTCTCTCTCTACTCACTCCTCTCTATCTCTCTCGCACACACCATCACGTATACATCGCGACCTGTTTGCCTGGAAAAATCCCGCCACCGCCGGAGTATCCCCGCCACCGCCATTCCACCCTACCCACTCCCTCTCTCTCTCTCTCTCTCTCTCTCTCTCTCTCTCTCTCTCTCTCTCTCTCTCTCTCTCTCTCTCTCTCTTTCTCTCACTCTCTGTAACGCCCCGTTTTATTTTAAAGAGTTTACCGAATTTATTTATAAAAATCAGAGTAAATTTTTCGCATAATTCCAACTTAAAATTTTGAATGTAGAAAACGGGCGCTACTTAACTACCAACAAATATAACAATTAAAACGAGCACTAGATTCTACACATGCATTTCTAACAACATTATATTCACACAAAATTAATATAAGTTTCCAAAACCAAATCAAAAGGGTTCAACATAATCCCATCAACATGTTCAAATGTTTAGCGCAAGCATCATAGTCCATAAATAATAATTTGACATTAACAATAAATGCGGAAGCAAAGACATGATGATCCAATGACCACCACTTGCTCGTCTCTCGCTGCCGCCGCCAACAACGCTCAACATAAAGATAAGAAGAGGAAACAAGAGGACAAAACAAACAATGGGGGTGAGCAACACCACTATGTTAACCAATACCGCATCGTATATTTCGCATAACGATCCATAACCATAATTGAAGTATACATAGAATCTAGGTCTAACTCCCTATTTGGCCCTATAGCAAAACCTCCTATGTACATACCACAACCTTCAAGGAGTAACCGGAAACCTTCCCACCCCAGCTCAACATGGAGCCAAAAGGACCCCCCACACCCCCGAACAACAC